AAAAGACACTTCTATTATTAATACTATAGAATCATTAGAGTTGCGAGCTGAGCGTGGTGGACCCTTACAACCATACCCAGAACTAGAAATTGAAGAAATTTAGAATTTTTATATAACTTATCTATATAAACTTTAAAAACATATTTTATACCAAAAAAAAAAAAAGAATCAATAATTTTTAACAAGACATCTTCTAAGATAGATAGTATACACAAAATTTTAGAATTAGTTTAAAATATTCAAATAATAGGAGAAGACCGTATAAAACATTGGGATAAAAATAAAATAGAAGCTAAATTAGAAATAATAAATGAAAATATAAAAATTAGAATAGCAGAAATAAACATACGAATCAAGATACATAAAATTTTAATATACAAATTAAAGAATCATTAGATTTAAAAGTAATAAAATCATCTAGTAGTCAACACAGATCAACAGTCTTTATGGTTAGAAATCATAGTGAAATAAAAAGAGGAAAAAAAGAATGATTATAAACTATAAAATATTAAATGACAATACTGTAGAGGATGGATATAAGATACCAGATAAGGATATGCTAATAAATAAAATACAAAATAGCAAAATATTTTCTAAATTTAATTGTAAATCTGGATTTTGGCAAATAAAAATGGCAAAAGAATCTATTCCTTAGATAGCTTTTACTACTCCATTAGAACACTTTGAATAGTTAGTCATGCCTTTTGGATTAAAAAATGTACCCTTTATTTTTCAAGGAAAGATGGATAATATATTTAATTCTCTTCCATTTGTTTGTGTATATATAGATGATATTCTAATACATCGTAAAAACTATAAAGAACATATGAAACATTTAGAGATAACCTTGAATAAATTTATAAAAAATTGTTTTATTATAAGTAAAAAGAAAATGTAAATAAATAAACAAAAATTGAATTTTTAGGAATAATTTTAGGAGAGGGAAAGATTTAGTTACAGCCACATATAATACAGACAATTTTACAATTTTCAGACAAAATTGAAGAAACCAAGAAATTACAAGCCTCTTTAAGAATATTAAATTATGCTAGACATTTTATTAAAAAATTTAAGAAGGAAAGTAGGACCATTGTATAGTAAATTGTCTAGTAAAAGACAAAAATATTTTAATCAATCGAATATAAAATTAGTTAAAAAGATAAAATCAGAAGTTAAAAATTTACCACCATTAGAATTACCATTAGATAGTGAATATAAAATAATAAAAACAGATGATGTGAATTAAGATGATGAGGAATTTTATATTCCAAACAAAATAAATATAATGATAAAAAAAAGAACAAATTTGTAAATATGCTAATGAAAAATACAAGATAAAAAGGAAAGTATTTAACTAATTTAGATTATGAAATAATGACTATCATACATAGTATAGAAAACTTTAAATTATTTTTAAATACTGAATTTACAATTAGGACAGATTCTGAAGTTATAGTAAAATTTAGATGAATAATGTTAAAAAAATATTTGCTTTGTATGAATAACATTAGAGTACATTTGATTGCAAGTCTAGAATTTGTATGGAAAGAAAATATATTCTAGGTAATTTAATTGTCTAGAACTTATTTACATAAAAATTATCAATTAAATGTGTTTGATTAATTTAATTTTCAACCTAGAAAATATTATA